AAGAAGTCCCTTGATCTGGAACCGGTTTAGCTTTTGATAATCGTGAGATTTGGACGTGTGACTGGCACCTAAAATCCCTCCACACAAGGCTCAAACATTTCGACAGTCGTCACTGGTAGTTGCTCATTACATTCATTTGTTTTCTCGCGTCGGCATAGCATAGAGGGTAAGCGCGATGTTGGCTATTTAGTTAGAAGCTCAAAAATAGATTAAGTGTGCCATCATGCGAAATTCTCCGTGCTCGTATTAAACCGTTCACAGTAATTCGATAGACTGACTCCCACATTTACATGGGCTTTTAGCGCCTATTCAAGTCAATGATCCATGCATAGCATCAAGAACTATCGGGGAAAACATATTCGGCAGTATCGAGATCGTTTGAGTTTAGCGAGAACAGAATTCGAAAGTTTTCTCGTGAAACAGGAAAATTGAGGCTTCAGTTTTCAAGGATTATATGAGAAAAAGACAGGCCTTACTTTTACATGCCTGGAAAAACTCCGAATCCCTTCGTGTACACTGGAGAGACTCCAGAAAACTGCCTTTCAGTCTTCTCCAAGGACCCTAGCCAACAACCAAAATCAAAGCGAAACAATGGATTAGAATCGTCTTTCTGCGCCGCATTTGATGGACTACAGAGCAGTCGCAGTAGTTTCTACATCTAAACGCAATAATCCAAACATAGATGGGAATTCAGCCTTTTCTGCGACGTTCGCATCGTTCATGTTGACGAAATCCAAATCCGAAGCACTTTGGCGCTTTTCCCACTCAACCACATCACTACCATTATCAAAGTCCACAAGAATTAGTTTCGACAAAAAAAAGCCATAAAAAACTTGTTTTTAATAAACTCCTTGTGGAAAGATTTTCTGATTCCAAACTGCCCTAGCGCAAACAAATCAAAGATGTCGGCTATCTTTCATTCCGATACTACAAAACATCTTTCCATAGATCTATGCAAGTTCCACCCATGCGTCTATCATCTGATAGTTATGAAATTACCCCTTATTGTTTGTAATTTTCTCTATCCATATCCACCATTCTATGTGGAGGACCAACAATCAGTCTTTCTCCGCTCGGAAACCATACCTATCACGGAAACTAGCAGTAAAGAAAAATGCTTACCATCATTTATATTGAATGTTTCCCAATGTGCTTGTTCTTCTGTTATTGAATCTTCTTTTGTCCGAATAGATTCTGTTAACAGTTCAGCATGCTCAAATATCGTTGATTGTTTAAATAAAGTTGAAATATTTATATGATTTGAATACATTGCTTGATAATAATTAAACAATTTTATTAACAAGAGAGAATTACCACCTAATGAAAAGAAATTGGCATTCATCGAAATTTTATCCAAATTTAATACTTTACACCAAAGATCATGTATCTCTTTGTCGAATTCTGTTTTCGGTTCAACATATTCATGTTCATTATTCAGTTGTGTAAAGTCAACAGGTGGTAATTGTTTACGATCTATTTTCCCATTTGAATTTAATGGAAATTCATCTAATATAATAAACAGAGATGGGACCATATAGGATGGTAAGTGTAGTTGACAGTAGTCTTTGATTTTCGATCGTAATGTTTCACTATCGCTATCTAACGTGCTTATATATGCAGCTAAATATTCTTGTTGGTTCATTTCATTCACAGGCGTTTTTATAACGATGCAATTATTGATATTATGGCTAGAGCTAAGAATGGTTTTCTCTATTTCTCCCGTTTCAATACGTTGACCTCTCAATTTGATTTGAAAATCAACACGTCCTACGAAGTATAATTCCCCATTCGAGTCTAATTTAACAAGATCGCCTGTCTTGTAACATTTTCCATCTACCACACCAGGAATATCAATTAAAACTTGTTTAGTTAAATCATCTCTGTTTAAATAGCCGGAAAAGACACCTGGACCACCGACATATAATTCAGCAGTTGCTGAAGGCAGAACCGGTTGTAGGTATTCATCGAACAGAAAGCAGCTGTAATTAGGTGCTGGACGACCAATGCACTGCAGAGTGAGATCTTCGGAAACCCTGACGATATGGTGTGTTGAAATGATTGTGCATTCAGTTGGACCGTACACATTGTAAAATGTAGATTGTTGATTAAGATGAGTTATAACTTTTAATACTGTTCGAGGTAACATTATCTCGCCTGATATGAAAAAGATCACAAATAGTTTACATGGGAACCTCCTATGTGTCCAGTCGCTTTTGCCTTGACGTTTACTTCACTGAAAGTACTTTTCGATGCAGATCCCGAGTCTGATAGTCGCTAATGCTTTTAGCGTTTCGTTCGATGGATCTACATGCGTTGCCTTTGTCGACTTGTGTTGCGGAAAAGTTATGCTAGTCGAGAACTCCTTTAGCAACTGATTACGTTTGTTAATTCTCATAAAAAGTACATCTCCGGCTCAGCTAGCCTCAGCTGTATCTTGACACGTAGACTGCACCCTTTTCTACACAGTAGTTCCACATAGCAACCTGCATACTTTCGGATAGCAGTGAGGATTGCATTCGCGTTAATTTTACTTAAACTTGTCCAATTCGCAGAATATTGCGTAAATTTAGAATCCGTCCCGTAAAAGATTGGATTAAATATCTTTAATCACTTCCTATATCAATCGCTATACCGAAAGACACACCACATCTCAAGAAGACGCAAAGAAAACCGTTATTCTTTCGAAATCAATGGTAAACTATAGTCATGGATGCCCTATAAACTTGAGTCGAGCTCCTGAACATCCGAAAGTGTCTACGCCCCAACGACATGTTTGCGCCGTACAGCTCAATCGAACACTGTAATTCAGACTACGCAAAATACCTAAATCGCGCTCTTTTAGAAAAAAACATGAATATTTCCGAGAAGGTCCCAGATCAGCAACCAAACCTGCCTCCGATCAAAAATATTTCCAGCTCAAAACAATTCTACACTACAGTGCTTCCATCATACACTCAGGCGAAATGAAAAAATGGGTGAAATGAAAGAAAGAAATCTCTTTACTAACCTCCAGAAGTCACAGAACGTAGTGTTTTGATCCGATTAAACGAATCATGTGTTTCCAAAAAATCACACAATA